CGGGCCCTGCGGGAAGGGGCGGCGCGCGGGCTCCGCGCCTGCGGAAGCGGTGGAGGAACCGGCCGCCGTTCGTAGCGGTTCGGTTCCAGGCAGCGGGAGAGGGAAGGAACAGCAGAGCCTCAGCGATATCCTGTTTAAATGCCTGTATCAGCGCAGCGGATCAAGCCCTTAACCCATGTTCTGACCAAACGCCAGGCCCGGTTCTCAGGACGGCCTTTAGACTGTAGCACAGTCCGCACCGGGACCACCGGCCCCCGTCTGGAGACTTCTACATTTCACTGTATAAAACTACAAACCCCTCACTCTATATTGACTGTCAAGATAGATATACAAATCTCTATTTTTTTTTTTAATTATTACATGTTTCAGACTGAGCAATCAGGTAAAAAAGATACTGAAGTTAAAATAAAAAGGGAAAAAAATCTTGGTTTTAAGTAAACCAGCTATTAAGATTAATTCCAACAATACTTGTAATACTAAGGATATGAAAACATTATTTTAATCCAATAGGGAATTTAGAAAAGGGGAACTATTTCCCCAAGCACCAAATAAAGTTCCTTGGATGTTTGTTCCCAGCGTCACAGCACATTACTAAAGGTGACAGACCAACTAATACATTCACGTGCTTCAATCTGCCCTCACCCCCCAGAAATCACACAAATGTTCCTCAAGATTAAAAGAGCTCCAGTAAATACTAAGGGCTCCTTCTCTCCATTCCCAAGGCTGCCTGACAGTTTAGCTTCCTGGAACAAAAGGGGCAGAGCAGGAAAGCATTCTTGCTATGTGTGGCACTTGAAACACAGCAGGTTACAGAACAAACTGAATATACGCCTTCCGCCTGTAAACAAACTGCAAGTGCATGCGGCAGGCTGGTACCTGGCTAGGCTTGCCCTAGCTTCCATCCAGGCAGCAGTGCCAAGATTCCATACCCACAGGCGCTCCTGCTGCTCCTGCCTGCCCGGTGTTCTGGTGGGAAGCTCACTGCCCCCGTGAGGCAACAGCCAGGACTGAGGTTGGGCTTTGGCCTCTCACCGTTATCCGTAAGAAAGATTAGACTTGAATCATTTAGCATCTCATGTGCTAAAAGTGAATCCTCAGAGGTGGTGCCCAGATCACTGGTGAAGGTCTTTGTGATAGCTGTGAGCTCTACGTGCCATAACCATAATCCTGGTCACCAGCTGGCTTTAATACAGGATCTCATCTAGAGTCTGGTTTAAAGTAGACATTTTCCTGAAGAAAACAATAGGTTAATCAAAGAAGCGCTTGATGTAGTTATGATAGACTGGTACCTGGGGCTCAGCTAACCCAGGAAACGTCTTTCTACAGCAACTAAACATACTTTGGAAGCCCATAAGACACTCCTCAAGGAGAAAACACAACACAATTACACCCTTTTCCTTACTCACCCCACCCTTTCACACCATTTTAAGTGTATTCCATACTATGAATTCAAAATAGATGGTAACATACAAAGAAGTGTGATACAATTTTCTTTATTAAAAATAATTTACAGCATCAGTAACATTTTATGCACAATTGTCATCAATTGAACTTAAGATATTATCTATACAACACTTACTGAACTTAAAACACTGTTCTGTTTGCTTTAAACAGCAGACACTGATTTGCAGTTGCTTAAATATGATTAATATATATAGTTTCATGTCCTTATACTTAGGTGTAAAATGTATAAACATCAACACTCTCCCAAAGCTTTATAATTTGGGAGGGGGATGAAGGGAGGGGAGTGCAAGGAGAGAAGACGTTTAGAAAAGTGGGAACAAGATTCTTCCCCAAATCAAAATGGAGAGAAGCCTAGGTTAAATACATCTAACACACTGAGCCATTTCCTCAGAAAGGTACACGTCCTCCTATGCTTTCAGGTACTATCAAGAGGTCTAATCCAACACTGGGATTTTTGCATGTGATCACAGCACTGCTTTGGCTGTACCGTACCCTGCTGCTGCCAGAAAGCAGGCGTCACTCCTGCCCAGCTAAAGCTCACAGGTCCTAGTAGTGTGTCCAAAGTTAAGCATCTCCCCTTGGCCACCAGGCTGATGGACAATGTTCACTGCTGCTGAGGGAGAGGGGACAGGCACATCACGTGGATACTCGGCAAATGTTAACCTTTATGTGGGAGATGGACGCCTGCACAGGGCTGCTCCTCGCAGCACCCACCATGCTTCAGGTGCGCAGGTCTGATGGGTGGGAGGCAGCGTGGGCACCAGGCAAAGGTGCCACTCACTTGGGCATACCTAGGGCTGGACCCCCTGCAGCAACCACAGCCAGAGCCTGAGGGTGAACAGCAACTGTGCCAAAGCACAGCTCCAAAGGTGTCCTTCACTGATTTTAAGACAGAGGAGTGCAGCAGAATTAAAGTAGTTGCTATGGTAATGAACCCCATCGTGTCTTTTAAGAGATGGTTAGCTTTATGGATAGTGACATCTCATGAAATTGCACTTAACTTCATAATACTGCTTTACCTCCACATGGCTGCATCACTGCCTCCTTCTAAAGCAAGCAGCATGTCACTGCACTAGAGAAGGCAGAGACTGTGTTCCATTCCAGCATCAGCCATCACAGGAGTTTTCAATAGGCCTGGTGTGGTTTTATTCATCATCTGCACAAGGCATCATTATCTGCCAGCACTAAATTCCTATTTGCTCCCCAATAATGAACACACATTTTCTTGAACTGAATCATGCCTTTGAGCTGGGGAAAAGTATTAGACACTGTTGTGCAAGAAATAAGATCTGCTCACTGACTCTGGATAAAATTAGCATGTGTACCACGGAACAGAAACTCATTCAGCACTCATTTGAATGTAGTATTCAGAAATGCATTGATTTATCATCCATATCAGTGGTAGGAGTCACTGGAATGGTTTTTACCTGGACTAAAAGATCACAGCAAAACTAATGAAATATAGGAAGAGACTATACAGAATTTCAAACTTTAAGGGAACTTTGTCCAACCAAGTAAAAAAGGTGTATCAAAGTTATGCCAGTGAGGTCAAAGTAATTTGTTGTTTGAACTGTCAAAAAATACTATCTCGTGATGATAAAATTATGCCAGGTTGGGGTTTTTTTAAAGGGAAGTCAGAAACACACTATTTAAAGATTTGAACGGTGCATCTGTCAAGTTTACAAGTCAACTACCTTAGTGTCTGGTTATAAACTGGAAGCAGATGTACTAAAGCTAATACAGTCCTCTTGAAAGTTTTTATATTTAAGACAAAGTTTATCAAGAGCAACAGATCTTAAAGCAAAGCCTTGACACTTTCTAGTCAAGTTACTGCAGCTCTGTCCTTCAAAAGAAATTAATCTCTATGCAAACCCTAAATGGTGTTATGAAGCTTTTCAAGATACAGGAACACACAAACAGGGAAGACTCACTTGGGCAGATTAGAAGCTGTCAATGCTTAGTTAGGTGGTAAAACCACCACTTGTGCAGAAACTGTGCATCTTCTGTCAGTATTCAATATGGAACAGAGCTTTTCCCATCAGTGTGCTGACAATTACATTTACGGAAGCTGCAATGACAGAAGAGCCAGGTTTGCTCAGTGTTCTGGAATTTCAGCAGGGGAATTTGATGATTGTTTGGAAGAGCTGTAAACTGACAGCAGATGAGAAAGCATTAAAAGGCAGAATGGCTGCCTTGACTATAACATCTGACAAGTATAACTTTTTAGACATGGGTCATATTTAAAGCACAAGAATTAAAACAGTCCTAACACTTTTAAACATTTTTCGAAGTTAAAATACTAACGGGAGGTACTTTGTTTAATGGTATTGCAAACAGCACCATAGCAATTGGTGTCACAAAGGACAAACTACATTCCTGGAAGTAGATGGGACAAGCTTCAATCGGACACTGCAGCTTCCCAAAGGCTGGGGTGCTACATTTAATGGTGTGAGCAAAGTAACTGTGAGCATGTTGTTGAATGCAGAGATGTTTGCCATACTTCTAAGCATACAGTATTTCATAGTGTGAGCAGTTTTACATCTGGGTTCAGATGAAATATAATCCCATACTACAGGTAAGGAAGTCCTGATCTGCAGTACAGGACACCACAGGCCTCATGTGGACTGCTTTTTTGAACACCCATAACCTACAGAGCAAGTTTAAAACTGAGGGTCTGTTGTAAGCTCTGGATGCAAAAATAAATAATAATAATGAAATTGTATGTAGCCTTTACCATTCCATACCATCTGCTACCCTACAACCAACACACAGCAGTACACAGATTTACAGGTGCAAGAACTGAGTGGAAACAACTGCACAAAGTCTCCTGACATAATAACCTTCAGCACGATCAGGTTCAGATTTTGCATTGTTTATTTACAAAATGGTCTGATAAAACATCCCCTCCATACTTACAGCTCTCTGCCACAACACACATGTTGATTTTAGCAATGTTTAATAGCACCATTAGAATATTATTTAAAATCAGGAAGGATCTTGTTGCAGTAACAATGATTCACAATCTTTTACATCCATGGACGAAGTAACTTTGAGCACACTAGGACTGTTTGCAGTTCCACAGTACAGATTCCTGGGTTCACACAAGGCATTTTCAGCATTACCAGTTATGCAAGGTACCCATATCAGTCAGTCTACTATAAGAATCTTCGAGCCACAAAGTTTAGACTTCCACCATACTTGTATAAAGTTATCTCCATGTTATTTTCAAACAAGGCAATCACGCTGAATACTTTTCCAGTGCTTGTCTTCAAAAGAAAAGCAAAAAAGAGAAACCAATTAAGAGTTTTGCTTTCACTTCCCTTTGCTCATTTCTCAGTTAACAGTCTAACCCCACATTTTGATCAACACAAGCAAATTGACCCTGCCTATCTGCCACTGGAAATCAGAGACACTGCTGGGAACAGAATGAAGGCCCATTTTACTCCACAGTGTAGATCCAGCTGGGAGCATGCTACGTACCTGCTTGTGACAAAGACAAAGCCATTTCCCTAAGATGGCACAAAGCATGTTACTATGGGCATAGTATGGGTTACTATGGGTCACTATGGGTCTCTTACACAGAATGGAAAGCTGAAGCATCTCTCAAATAGTCACACCGATGTCTTTAAAAGGACCTGAATGAGACACAAGACTCAATTCTACCCTTACACAGTACCTGTGAGGGGGGAAACACCACCCCAAAAAACAATCAAGGATTTCAAGTTGCAATACTCTGGGCCACTTCAATAACCACAGCAAACTACTATAAGCTTGCTTGCAAAGAGAACCAAGTTTTGCGGTTTTATCCTGCTTTCCATCATCAGAATTAACTTCTTTCTGTGCTTTCAATTGTCAGTACACTCAAAAGAGAAATGGAAGAAATATTGCAAAGATACCTTAATATCCAAAGTCATTCCAGGTGACAGCTCTGGAGGGAACAATATAGAAAATTGCTCTCTGCCAGTGAGACCCAAAGTACTTGGATTTTCCCCAGGAAGAAACTGAAGTGGAGCTATGCCAATCCCAATCAACTGGCTTTTATGAACCTTCTCATAGCTTTCAGCCAGGACAGCTTTAACACCCTACAAAAAACACAAGTGATTTTGTATTTCAGTACAATAGTCAGCAAAATGCAGAAGTAAGCTTCAAATATACATTATGTCCAAAATCTTGCAATTCAAACTGAATAGTAAAGCAGTGCTTTGTATGAGTCCTGTACGTAAGTAAGTAGGTAACACTTCTTAGCTGTACAGCTACATGAAAGGAAATGACCCAGAGCAGGCCCATACAACATGAGATGAAGTTTTACAACAGACAGAGACCATGCTGTGATTAGCAGGTGGGAGGTCCTAGGCTAAATGCAGTTGCTTCCATTGCTCCACATGAATAAATGACTGACTCAGAATATATTCTGAGTACTAGAGGAAATTGGCCTCCAATAGCTGGATATGTAGTACCCACAAAGACCAAACAGAGGTCATCACTAAAGAACTAATTTATCTCTAAGACAGTAATTTAATTAGGAAATTCAGATTTAGTGATTCTCTTCTATGAGGGTTCTAGCAAAGACATTACTGAGAAGTCTTAAAAACAAAATGTGGTATTATTTTCAACATTGAGGACAGTTTCTGAACACATTTACACCCAAAACTAAACAATGTGGTTTTAGATATTTCCAGATAACACAAAGACACACCCCAAAGCCAAACAAACCAGCAGTACCAGTAGAAAAGGCCCTTTTGCAGCCCAGTCTCTTGAGCTACCCAGTCCATACTTCTTTCCTGCTAGAATAATTACGGGGATGCCTTCTTTCTGGTAGAGCTCTGCTGCTTCAAACACATCTAGCTGTGGAATAAGCAAGTGAAACAGAGTGAGTGAGCTGTAAACCTGCTGCACAGGTTCAGAGTCACTCTGTAAACAAACACATCTTTACCGTTTGCCCTGATGGGAAGTGAACTGTTTTGGGAGCTGGTTTTCCAATGAACTTATTCAGAAGCTTGATATTTGCAAAGGTACCTCTTGTCATCACAGCATCATTACCTCTTCGAGCTCCATAAGAGTTGAATTCACGAGGTGTGAGTCTAGAATAAGAAGAATATTTAAAAGGGAATCAATTAAAGACTATATGGTTTACAATAATACTATGATTTTTATAATAATTATTGCAGCATCTCTAAAGTTTTCAGTGCAAGATGTAAAGAACTATTTGTCCAACAAATGCAGTTACAATAAATCACGAGCCGAACATGTAACCATTGCTACATTATTCATGAAGAAAACTACAATTTTACATTAATTTTTTATGACTTTTTTATGGAGTGCTACAAGCAGTATGGTACAAACTACATGAGAATTATGGTGAGATTGTTCTAAGAAACAAGCTTGTTTACTAATCCTCTTAGCTCTACCAGCATATTTATTAACAAGCATTGTACCAAAATGAGAGCTTTACTCCTAAATCAAATGACCATCCTGGGATTAGAGGCCCATGAAGTCTGCCTCTGCTTCTCGTAACACTACTCATTCAGACTGAATGTAGTAGTTACAGAGGAGTGCACACCACAGGCTACTATTTTGGCATGCTTCAGAGATACTGCAATTATTACACACCTTTGCAATATAATGCAACAATCTAATTTCCAAACCATTCAGCAGCAGCTCAGCACTGTGTTGTGTTCTGTGTCTTTTGGAATTTCAGTGGAATTTCTGCTGCAGGATGCCCACTGATGCAGAGGTGAATTACAGCACCAATCACTTTCATTTAGAAAACCTGGTTTCGTTCTCTTTAAAACTTACAGACACCAGCAACAGTTACTATTTTGCTTATCCACACACAGTCTCCACTTTATGCAGTCAGGCATAAAAGGAAAAGCAACAGTGCTGATCAATTATTTGGCATGGGAAGCAGTGCTCTGATATAGAGCTGTTAATATGAGAAGTCCTTACCCTTTGTTGGTCAGATACTTAGCAGCAGCACTACTCCTTGCAATGCTTCCAGCAGGGGATATGTGATCTGTAGTTACTGAATCTCCCAAAAAGAGCAAGACATGGGCATTTTCAATCGGTTGTGGTGAAACTGGTTCTCTGGCCTGAAAAGGAAGGGGCCAGGGAGGGAGGGAAAGGACAGACAGACAACAACATAAGATATATTTTTCTTACAAGACCATTATATGCATAAACCATAGCTGCAGTATACGAAGGCACACTGACATACAGGCTCCACTTGTTCCAGAGATCCAAACAGTATTTAAAGACTGAGAAATATTAGTGATAACCAAATTAGTCACTCAAACAATGAAGCTTTACTGGACTAGCTATTCTGATACTTAAATGTAAGGCACATCATCTGGTGGACAGATCCAGTGTACTCACAAGTTTATCAAAAAAGGAAGGACATCTGATATAAGTAGATTTTAAATCCCAGGGAAATAAAGTTGACTCAGGTGCTTCCAGTAGATTCCATCGTTTGTTTCCTTTCTACAGAAAAAAGTAACCAAAAAGAACAGAGAAATAGGTTTATAATTTTTATATTCTGAAACCAGAGACTTACTGGTGGTCTTCTTTTTAATTTCTATCCTATACTGCAAGTTATCTCCGTGGATATTACTTAAGAATCAGTATTTAATACAAGTACCCATCTCAGTTAAGTCCTTTACAGTAAGGGAAAAAAGTGACAAACCAATCTGGTTCAGCTGGAAGATATTACAAAGCTACAATAAAATACAATCTTTAAGTTATGTAGAACAAAAGAGCATTCTTGCCTCCATTTTCTCTTTCAACTCCTTAAACATGGCTGATATCACACACTCCTCCTCCACAGTGTGAAGTTCTTTTCGGGTGGGCCAAATATCTCGTAGGTAAATGCCTTCACCATTGAAGCCAGTGCCTGCAGAAGATTTAACAGAACAGTAATTGTGAAGAATATTAGACTTTATATTTCTATTAGAATACAAATATGTCTATATTCAGGTATTCAGAGACGGTACCAGATAAGCAAAGCATTCACTTAACTGATGAAAGTCTTTGCATTAGCTAGGAGCAACAACCAAAACACAACTGTGCTTTCTCTTCACGCCTAAACGCATGCGAAGGAACCTCTTCCGCATATGCATTAGATGCGGAAATCTCTCCTACGTATGCATTAGATGCAGAAATAGAAGATGTAAGCAAATACTTACCCAAAGGCTCAGTTTCAAAGTCTATTCTGACCGTGCCTGCAATAGCATAAGCAACTACTAGTGGTGGAGAAGCAAGGTAGTTGGCACGGACACAGTCACAGAGACGTCCTTCAAAGTTCTTTGTTCCAGACAACACTCCGCAGGCAATTATATCTCCCTGAGAGGAAGAGCCATGGATGTTTTTCTGTAGGACTTTGCAGTATTTCAATAGTTTATGCTATTTTTTGTTGACTAAATCAAATGTGCTTTTAGCATTCCGCTTCAACTATTTATTCTAACACTTCAATTGAAAGGCATTTTGCTCTCCCACCACCCTTTCTCCTTCTCTTCCTTTTCACTCTTGACCCTCTGACCGCTTCACTGAACTCCTCCCCTGCCTTTTATTTCTGGTATTCTTCTTTCCTTCTTCACAGCAGAAGGATGCTACAGCTGTTCAGACATAGCTGGTTAAAATCACTCAAGCACATACCTCTTTAAAACCCATCCATAACATTAATGCTATGTATTTATCTTGTAATTTAGATCTGTATGCTACAAATACTATTACAGTTATTTTACATAGCAATGAATTAGCATAATCTCTGACATGCAAAGTCCAAACCAACAGTAAAGTGTATTTTGCACTCAGTGAGAACTGTATTTCCATACTCAACAAGCCTTAGAGCTTTACCTGCTTGATTGCATTCCTAATGGCTTCTGGCAAGGGGGCAGTGTTTCCAACACAGGTTGAACAACCATAACCAACAACCTCAAACCTACATCGGAAAAGAACAATCAAGTAACACATTAAATGATTACAAGCATTTTGTTAGCAAAAGTAGCTTTTCTTTCATCAGCCACCATCAAGAAGATATTTCTTTGACAATTAAGACTTTTTAGGATGTTAGCACCAGACACCACATCTCACTGATGCAAGCAGGAGGATAAAAGGCAACATTTTTGCAATCAATCAAGTCAAGTAAAATATCTCTAGATGCTGTTAGTTCCATAAGTAACAGCAAAGCAAAGGCAGTAACACTCCTCACAGAACACAGCTGGGCACCATTACAGAATTATGCACATACTCTAGTTACTGCTACAAAGCGACCAAAACCAGGCCAAGCAACCTACGACAGCAGCAGTGTTAAGAAAAGCCTAATACAGCTTGTCCCAATAAATTTACATCCAAGTTCCACTTTTAACATACATCAACAAGTGCATCTTTTCCTGTAAGACACTTACAATTAAGTATATCACTACTGAAAAAGCAAAGCTCAGAGGAGGTAGAGAGCTACACAGTCAATTGCAAGGTGGGAATAAAATACAACTTTAAGCCATCTAGTAGTTAACATGACAATCTAGTAAGTTCAGAATTAACCACCCAAAATGAACAACCACTGTATTTATCATGTGCTATTGTCCTGAAGTGACAAATAAAGTGGGGGTCACAACTCACCCAAGCTTACTGAGGTATGGCAATACTCCACTTGAACTGAGGTAATGTGTAACCATTCCACTGCCTGGTGATAAACTTGTTCTTATGTAGGGCTTAACCACTAGGCCAGCTTCAACAGCTTTTTTGGCCAAAAGTCCTGGAGAAAAAAAAAAAAAAATCAAAAAAAAATCTTGTATTTAGTATATCCCTTAAAAAAACATTTTTATGATGTTACCTTAAACTAAGCATAAACCCCCCCAGAGGATCAGTAGACCTTCAGTTTATTATTAAAACAACTATCTGCCTGAATAAAGTTTCTTAACTCATAACACTGATTCAGGTTTTTGTTCCCATTCCTATAATGTCAATGCCCATTTTCTTCTCTGTAAGAAAAAAATCTTTCCCATGTTCTAGTTGGCCGTGCAAACCCATTTATTATTCTTCTATACAGGCCACAAAGCCTCAAAGGGAAGCTTGCCTTAGCCCAGAAGGCCCCAAAACAAGCAAGCAGGCTCTGACAGAGGAGTAGCTGTTCTGGGACAGCTTGCAGAGGTATGTGCAAGCTGTGACTACAGCACAGACCAACTGCTCAGCAACTCCTGCATCAACTGACACTGGTGACTTGCTGAAATACTACCCAACATAAATATTTTGTCATTACTATCATTAACACCCGTTTATGTCACAAATCTTGAGATTGTATTATTGAAAAGTAGCTTTCATTACATAACCTCCAGAACACACAACAAGCTTAAAGCTTAGTGTCAAACCTTTTAGTCAAGTCATTAAAGAGAACCTGCAAAAGTGAAGATAAAGGCTGTGTAATCACAGAGGCATCATCCAGGCAGTCACTAATCAAAACGTACCTGCAGCAAGCATGACAGATGGATTACAATTGTTTGTACAGCTGATTACTGCAGCAATGACAATGCAGCCGTGAGATAGCTTGTATTCATTTCCTTCATACTGAACAGGTACAATGTCATTCTGTTTCTCATCTGCAATCTGAAAGCCTTTAACACCAGACTAAATGAAAAAACACACACGTTAGCAGTTACTACAGCACAGGAAGTATGATATTACAGCATGATCAAGTGAACCCTCACTTTAAGGTAACACTCAGCTGTGCCACTAGGAACCCCCTGAAGAGATTTTAAAAGCCACACTCAGTTCACACCTCTGTCCATACAGACAGTGGTCTCATCCCTCTTTATTCCTAACTGCTTTAACTTTGCAATGATTGCAAACAAATGCCAGTCAACGCATGGCTGATCCCACACATTTCTTGCTAACTAGGAAAGAACAATCCCCAACGAATGCATGTCTACTTCTACACAATACTTGTTTCTGAATTAGAGGAATACCTAGGATTTTTATTTGAAGAGGCTGATACCTAAAGGTAGATTAGGTTAATAACATTGCATACCGTCAGCTCTTCAGCACAGAGTCATCCTCCAAAGGTCCCTTTCCACCTCAACCACACTGTGATCTGTGATCAGTTATCATTTCTCTGAGCACAACTGATCATTCTGTATTATACATCTCCTTATAAGCCAGAAATGCTTAAACCAACAGAAATTATTTTTACAGTGTCTAACTGTGTATACTTCTAATACTGCTGCCAGTCTTCAAGTTCATGATAAACACTAAAAATGAAGAGGCATTACGGCATTCTCAGCTACCTATGCATATCCCTAACCAAAAATGCCACCTTCAGTGTAAACAGATTTCCTCAAGGAAGTCAAGTTGAGGGGAAAAATCATTTGCTAACTTAAGAACCCAGAACACCAATTAGATACAGATCATGGCAGCCTTTAGGCATCACCCTTTAGCTATGATGACTTCTTTTTTCTTATGGTAATTCTGTTTGGAATATAAGTAAAATACAGCCATTTAAAAAACTCTAGAAATGAGTAAACATTTCCCAAGCTTGTGCTATTTTATGCTATAAACCCCATGACGGAGGGGTTGGAACTAGATGACCTTAAGGTCCTTTCCAACCCAAACCATTCTATGATTCTGTTTATCACTTAAAGGTTTCTCCTCCTCAGTGATCTAAATAGCAAAATTAAGGGATTTTCCTAAGTTCATATTCCTGACAAACACACCTATATTTACCAGCTACTATCCTCAGGATATTTGTCAAGCAAGAATAATATAGAATCATAGAATGGTTTGGGTTGGAAAGGACCTTAAGATCATCTAGTTCCAACCCCCCTGCCGTCCGCAGGGACACCTCACACTAAACCATGTCACCCATGGCTCTGTCCAACCTGGCCTTTAACACCGCCAGGGAATAAGCTGTTCATCTACTCATCAGGACAGCTCAGTTGGTATGCAAGGAGTAAGCAACAAGCTTCATTCATGTAGGTCATAGGAAGTACCTTTTGAAGAGTACATCAGGTGTACAAACCTTTTCATTTAAGCAGGCTTGGAAGTCACTTTTCATATTATTAACAGCCACTCTGTCTTGGGACCTCTTGGGGCCACTGACATATGGAATTATAGAACTTAAACTAATTTGCACAACCTACAAAATACAAGAAACAAAGAAAAACATGCCTCATCAATCCCAGCCCAACAGCACAGTCAGTAAACTCGAGAAATCCAGGACCTCTTTTACTTAAAATTTGAGTGTTCCGAGACATGAAATCTCTGGGCTCCTATTTTCAAGCCCACCCACTGTAAAGGGCTACCCTACTCACTCAGAACATTTTAATACTACCCCTAACTTTTCTACCATCTGTAAGACTTATCACTCAGGACTGATAGGAATTCCATATCTGTTAGTTGACATTAACTGTATTATGCTTCCCTTCTTTCTCCCACCCCCTCTACATTCTGCAACATACTCTGCTTCTCAAAACTTTAACGTAATAAATGCAGCTTTTATTAAGCAATAAAAACTACAGGAGGAAACAAATTTGCTAAGTCAGCAGTAGTTATTTATTATGAGAATCACATACAAAACCAAGTCATTTCAAGCATACCTGGGAATACTCAGGTTCTCTGGAAGAACTCTCATCACTCCTAAATAACTTCACAGCTTTAAGATACGCTTCCATGACCTCAAGCTTGGCCTTGTCAAAACCTTGAGAAGATTATTTTGAACATGAGAGAAGTCACATTAAAAAACATAAATAAACCAACCAACCAATTCTCATAAATCTGGACTGTCAGCATATCATCCCAAGTACTTTTTTCCAAGGACACCACTTCCACTGGCAACTCCCAGGAGCTATTCAAGAATTATGCACAATTAGCTTAACTTTCCTTATCAAGTAACAAAATAAGCTGCTCCAACTCCAGCAGTTGTAACTCTAAACTTACACATTTGTCCCTGATGTTCATAAAGCTTTTCTCCATTAAGATTTACCTGTTTAATACAGATCATGTGCTTAGTTGGCAACAGGCAGCATTAGTGGCTATCATTAGAAAATGTTGCATTTGTGCTGCCCTGAGCAGACAAAACATGTTTGCTGTGCAATTAAAAATGTTTAATTCCTATTTCCAAGTGACAGATTTCAGTTTCAGATAAGCTCACTTATGTGAATGGGGGTTTTTTGATATCTGTCACCCTGCAGCTTTGTCGTTTTGTGGTAGTTCGGTAACAAATTGACACCCTTTGAGTTTAGCTTGACAGATCAGTGAAATAATGCTCTTGAAAGGGGAAAAAAATATGTGGGGAAAAAATGGAAATGTGTTGTGATTTGAGTTTTTTCCACTTAAGTTCTTGTAACCATTTTAGATTGTGATTTTGTAGGGACTCTACAGTGATTAAGGGATTTATTTCATATTGAGAATACTTATATTCCATACACTTTTCAAAATATAAATGAGAATTTTCTTACTATACAGATAGTATATATTTTATATACTACAGACAATATAGTATATACTGTAATGAGAATTTTATTTTCTTTTAAAGGTTTACACACACTTTTCAAAACATGACTCTGGATGTTGAAAAATGACATGATGTTAGCAAACCGGGTGTTAGACTAACGGACCAGCCGCAAACCTCAAGTGCAGCCAGCTATGCCCAGGACAGTGCTGTGTATACAAAAACTACAGCCCCACTTCAATACATGGGATACACAGAGACAAAACAGGCCACATGAGAAAACATCTGCACTGATAAACAGGCACGTAACTCAGACTCAAACACCGTGGGCTAAGTGTCCCATAGAACTAGCCAGCAGTAAATCTTACAGCACAAGTTTTGTGGTAGGTATTACTCAGACGCATGAGATTCTGCTGGGTAAGAGTTAAGCCAAGTATATCCTGTGACACAGCCTGTTACTGTACAGCACAATTTTAGACATCAAATCGACGTCAGAAGTCCGCAGATAATCCCTGTTTAAGAACTATGACGTTTCAAGCAAAAAATTCATTGCCCCATATCTGAAACATGGAGACAATGAATCACTGCTTTAAGTTCACCTTACCTGTATGCTTTAAGTGCTTCAGTGTCACATTATCAACAGGGAAAAAGCTCAGAATAGCACCATACTCAGGACACATATTTGCTATCGTGGTTCGGTCTGCTACAGACAGCTGGGAAACTCCACTCCCAAAAAACTCCACAAATTTTCCAGCGACATCAGCTTGCTTAAGATGCTGTTTAAGAGAGGACAAAACGGTATTTGTTATGGGAAGAGGTACAGTGCAAGTAATGCTTGTTGCAACAACTTGCAACTAGCCAGTCATAAACATTTAAAACAAAAAGCTGAACCTTAAGGCCCACATCTGCAACAAAACGCAAGCCCCATTAACATACTGGGTTCTAAGCATCTACACCACACCTCCTCCATCTGCAAACAAGTTCCGCAGATTTCCTAGTGGAGAGCAGATACACCCTTCCTCAGGCATCATGCCAGCAAGAAGAATGGAGTTTTCAAAGCACGTGCAGTTCTTCAGTGCTTTGACGCTCTTAACGGGACCCCTCTCCCCCCACCATAACAGCAGCAGCCTGCACCACCCTGGCATAACCCCATCTTCACAAAACAGGTTCTGGAGTTGTACGAGCTCACAGTCACAGACAGACCTTGTGTCTCGCAGGAGTATTTTGGAACAAAAAGGGTATTCAGGGAAAGTTTCTAACCTAGGGAAGAAGCCCACATGCTGTCAGATGGAGAAAAAGGAAAAACAGGGCTTCTCTTCCCTGCTCCAGCCCTGCACACATATACTGGGGCTTTTTTAATATATTTTTTCACTAAAAGAGGGCATGTAAATAAACCCCTATAGGGGGGTGGCGGAAAACCCAACCCCTGAAAACATTACTTCAGAGGACTACTAAATAAAAATGATTGGAGATTACTCATCTCTATCTGCACTGCCATAATTAAAGCTATCCCCAGCATTTAGTTCAGTTCTCAGACACCACTGGCAAAACTGGCCACAAGCTTTGCTTTGTTTGAAAAGGCATCAAACTCTTACCTTTGTAATGCTCACAACAATATCTATGGATGTAGCAAGCGGGCTGGCTGTACCTGTCAGTTCACACCCAACAACCTCAGGCAAAGTGAGAGTAAGCGGCATCCCCAGCATCACTGCTTCTGTTTCAATGCCCCCAACACCTGGAAGAGGAATATTGGTTGCTTAAGGTGATGAAAACAGCCTGACACTAAATATGTTGAGGTCCTAAAACTCTAATAAACATCTTCCTATTAATCCTAAAGGCTTGTAACAATAAACACTGCTGCTTCTCTCTTATGAGTCAAGTGCATCCCTCCATCTGCAACCAGGCTACAGCAAGAAATGCACAAGTTCTATTCAATGTTTATACATTGAAAATAAAATGAAGCAAGACTACTACTGAAGTTAGATCTCACCCTCAACCAGAGAATACTTTATATCAAAAATTAACTTTCCAAGGGAAATCTTCATACAGATATTATACTGCGTGTACTAACAGCACTTACTTGAGTATCAATTGGGTTTTGGCTATTTTCTGTTTAAATTGACAAAGAACAGTTTTTCAATGGAAAAAACGTTAGCTGGGATTACTTTTAACAAAAAGCATTCTGAACAATAATTCAAGACAGAGTTTGTTATGCTTGAGATAGAGACATCCAGTGGGAAGAACACTTTGTCAGTAATGCTGTAGGACACTTCAAAGGGCTACCAAGTTACTCTTAGCATACTTACCCCAGCCCAAGATACCCAAGCCATTTACCATGGTTGTATGAGAATCTGTGCCAACCACACTATCAGGATATAGGAAATCTTTAACTTCAAAAACAACTCTGGACAAATATTCCAAGTTAACTTGGTGTGCCATTCCAGTCTCAGGTGGGATTATGGAAACATTCTTGAAAACCTTGGAACTCCACTGTAGTTTTCCCAAAATAGGGGAAGGAAAAACGAGAAGAAAAAAAAAAAAAAAAAAAGAAAAAAAGAGAGAGAGAGGAATTCCATTATTCCCAAGGTATATTCAATTCTTAGAACATAACTAAAAAGACACGACTAATATGCAAGAACACAGCACTTGCGATTTATGCAAGTGGCTTTTGCTTAACTGTCAAATAGATGTACACAATCCCCTGGGACTTGGAACATTCTTAATCACCAAAACCAAGCATTCATTTCCTGATCAATAATCCATACTTACCTGTCCACAGCTGGGCTGCATAAATCTCTCACTTTCCAGTTCACACAACTGATCACCTGCCCAGCTAAGACTAGTATTTTGACAACAGAACATAAGCACTTGTATTTATAGCACAATATAGTTTAGGTTTTACACTCCTGTGTGAGACTGAAGATGCAATTTAGAAAAGTGTCTTGAACTCAGGATGCTCAATTTAAAAGAGCTAACATGGAAACTTGGAACAACATTCAATGTGGCAGTTCCCTCCTTAATAATGTAGAAGAAACCTCCCAGTCTACCCATATGAAAAGGTCATTTCACTGGATACCTAAACCAGGTGAAATCAGTGGATGATAATCAAATGCTGATGCTGCAGACCCCTGGCTAGCAACAACGAAGCCAATGTTCACCACGCAAGATCTGCAGCAAAAGTGTTTACTGTTGTCTCCTCTGAAAGCAGCAATGTCTCTCTCTACATGGCCCCCTTTCAACATCTCCAGCCCCAGTAAGGTATGTAACATAAGTATGGATGGGACCAAAGGCATGGAGGTCATGAAAAAGCATTAAAAACACTAATGCTTCATTAAATACCTACTTTGTCCACTACCTTAACACTGACAAGAACCACATCAGAGCAAAGCTTTTTCAAGTTAGAATTATGAAAGATTATCTCTCCTTTAAGACACACCAAGCTTTAGAGCTGCTGCTGCCTAATGGCTTTTAGATTCAAAGTCACAAACCATGCTATTAGCCAATTTTCTGTTCCCTTACTAAATTCAGATTTGAGAGTCTCACACTTCCAAGTTTCTACATTTATCATCTAAACATGAACACTGGTAGACAAATGGAGCAAGCTCTTCAGACAACCACAACACAATACAAAAGCCACAGGTACAGACATACCTTAAAAAACTGAAGCCTCTCTTTGTTTCTGCCAAATTCCATCTCTTGATTTTTCAATACTGTCTCAGGCCTAGGAAGGTATCAAATTTACAAGCAGTCATAATTTATTTCAAATTACAAACAAGTTGTTGGTTTTGCTTGTTTGATGAAAGACCCACATAAGGCTGCAGCACAATTTGAAGTAATTTATTAGAACAAAGATAACTCCTTCCTTGCAGCAAGCTTTCCGTGAACAGTGAAGAATAACTGATTTCATCTGTGCTGTGCCTGAGAACATGTTTATTCTGGGTACAGTTTGCCTAAAGTACTTGATCTCAAAAATACTCATTTTAAGAGATCTATACCAAGCACATACTTCAATGCACAGACACTTTTAATCACTGATCAGAAGTCTTCGAGGTTGCAAATTCAATAAAGAACTAAGATGGTCACTAGCTCATGTAAAAACACACTCTGTTCAGTGCTGGCCTGTTAGCAACTGAGCAGAGCATCAGGGCAATTTTAACTATCCTCTGTTCTTGTATTTTTGGCCTCCAAGTCAGTTTTTTCTTCACAAGCACTCATCAGTACAGTCTCATAAAATGAACCATCTTTTCTTAGTAAATATTATTTATTACGATACTGATACTCGTTATAAAGGAGCAACCCACAATTTAAGAGGAATAACCTCTGTCTGAAGAGGGTGGACAAGGAAGGAAATACTAGGAAGGAAGTCCTCAATTTTCTAGAGATGTATTTACATCATGTCCCTTCCCTCTCGGCAGTGACGGGTTAGTGGCTATCCTGCTTTGCAAAGCCCTGAGGGACAGTCATCATTCACACTGCAGCTTAATTAATACCACTGCTGCTTTGCTGTCAGAATCATCAATATTGCTGCAAAGATTCTTATGCTGCTTTCCCACACCTGTACTGAACTGGAGTATTTGCATATCTAAAAAACCATCAAGACAATCAGCATCCTGTCACTGTGGAATACAGATTTGATGAGTTTTTAAATGCAGCACCTGTCCAGCACAGGAAGATAGGGATCTGAGGTGGCCAGCAGACAAAAGAGGTGCAGCTGAAAGAGGAGGATTATGACATGTAATTGTCATAGATGGAATCATACACAATGACCTCTTAATAATATAGGAAACCTGGAGAAGGCAGATAGATGAAGTTCCCCTGGGCCATTACATACAGGCAGGATACTCATTGAATTTCAACTCAAGGGCAGATGGACTGTGAGATTCCGTAGAAGCTGGGGGATGATACACAGGCTAGTTCTAGTTCTTAGGTCTTCTTTAACAGCCAGAGGCTTTTGAAAAGTTCTCATAGCACAATTTAAAAACTATGTTTAGAAATAAATCAATCTTCAAGATTTATTCACTGACATTTACTTTGTAACACCCAAAGGGACTGCCCCAGTGCTTTGCTGTCCCTGTAAAGAACCGAAGGAAGGCTTCAAATTGAGTTTACAAATCACAGCCATGAGCCACAGAGCTGGCCATCTGCACCATGTTTAGTAAAGCCCTTCTTGCAAAACACAAAAGATAATTATCATAGACTAACTCCAATCTGCTACATCAGACCTGCTTCTAGATGCTGAAACCTGTCTGTGGCACATGTGAAGACTCTAGAAGGGTGTTTAGAAGTCAACTCCATCTCTGAATTGCCACAGGCCGTGTTTACCACCGCAGAAGGGTACAAATAATTACAAGGAGGATTTCGTACTCAGGCACGGGCTGGAGGTGGAACGGACACAGGATCGGCGTGTTCTCAATCTGTGCGGAAAACTGTCCCGGGCTGCGAGCGGCCTCCCCGGCGCCACAGGGCCCCCGGCAGCCGGCCTGACCCCTGCAGGGCACCTTCCGAGGCTGCGCCTTCATCGGGGACAGCTTTGCTACTGGCTTCTGTGTATCGCCACCTCCAGGGTTCGGAGCGTTCTGGATTGCACTGCAACAGCAACACAAGAACGGTTTAGACTTCAGCAATTCTACTCCTTTCCTTCTTTGTTTTTCTTCTCCTTTGTCTTTTGCAATGCCTCCCAACACAAAATATTATCCGACAAAAAAAGTGGTTATTTTATAACAACCCTGTTGCAAAGTAAACTACCATGGGATAAGCTCAGTTAAATAACAGTCTGGTAATAAGTAAGTGAACAGAACTGGATTGTCTGAAAGATTAACACCAGATTAACTCCTTCACAGCAGACCAGAGATCTTTACAAAGAGTGCTGCAAAGGCTATGCTCAGGGTTTTAACTTTTCAAGGCAGGTAGAGCATCATCAACTAGTGGTGGACTTGCTGAACATGTTTCTTTTTAAGATGGTGTTGTGCATGTTCTGTTAAATCCACAGAGGAATGATTGCAGGCAAGGCTTTTTCGAGGACAGAAATGGAACCTCATTACTGAATTAGGCTTTTTATACAAATTCTGAAAGGCTCAGATAAATTTGATACACTACTCCAGTCAGAAGACAGGAAAGCTGGTTTTTTTTAAAAAACTCAAGTCCATAGAGCATGCTACCTTCTCTTTGTACAATATTCAGTCTTTGCACGAAAGCAAAGAAAGCTTCTTGTGAAAAATGCATTACTTTTTACCTCTCAATATTCACAAATTCAAGGATTCATAATTAAAGCTGGTGCTTTAGAAATACAAGAAAGATACTTAGTTATCCAATTGCAGGATATTGCATGGCCTTGTCTAAATCCCAGCCTAGTCCACCAGCCCCCTCTGACCAGCAGGAGATGGAAGCTACATAAAAGCAGCACAAACCATCCTGTAGCAAAGGGTTTCTTATCACAGGCCAGCAGCTGCCGAGATCTTGCACGCTTTCCAACAGGGAAACTACGGAGGCTGGATTTATCATTACAAAGCAGCATGATGAGACCTCTTGCCAGCACTAGGTCTTTCTGAGAATTTTAGGCAAGCCTAATTGCAATCGAATCAGCTGTCCCTCCAGACACGAGAGTGGACAGAGCACACAATGGAAATAACATGTAGGCAACACAACTACGAGCTGCAGCTTCTTGCTCTTCACTCTAACACTAACCAAACTGAAATCCTCTGTGTTTGGAAGGTCCACACAAACAACTCGTACACCCATGTCCATTTCGCCACAAGCTTGTTCCCACTGAACTTTTAGAATTCCTAAAGAGCTTGAGCAATTGACACAATTCTGCATGAATCTGCAAGGCTCCACCTTGGAGGGGTGGGGAGAAGATGGAGGGGAGCTGCATTATTTACTTAGTATTTGCTTCAGCAAACACTGAGCAGAACACAAGTTTTTCCTCTTCTGCAGTATTATGCTTCCAGCAAAAGGCAGCCCCAGGCTGTTTTCATCACATTACTGCCTGTCAGAACAATGAAAACCATGTTTCCATTCCCAATACTTCTCCAGGCTCCTACAATTACACTGCAACTATCTGCAGACTTTTTTAACCTGTGGTAAAATCCAAGCCTGTAAGAAAAGTAAAATCAGTCCTAAACTATGGGCTGAAATGACAGCCTTTCAGTATGTCCTACAAGATTATAAGCCATTCTCTGGAGCTGTGACAAGGCAGTCACATTAGAAAAAAGAAGGATTTAACACTAACAGTAAGAACAGGCTAAAGCAAAATTACAAACTCCCTCCGCCTCATTCTCTTCAGACATACTATTTTCTGGAAACCATGACAGAACCAGTTATTTCAGCAATCTCTTGCCCAGAATTTGGGTTGTCAGATGGCTTCAGCCATAAGCCCTCATCTTTCTCTTCTTCAGGAGCGTTACTTCACCCATTTTTATGCAGCCCTCTTTCAGACACCATCAGGTCTAGTTTCAGGGATCCACACAGGACAAATGATTTGATAGGATAGTACCAAGACCAGAGTGACTTTGTATTTCAGTATCACACGAACACATATAGTTCAACCAAAAAAAATGAGGTACAGTACCATTTGCTGAAATCAATCTGCAGAGAGTGGTCAACAGTGAGATCAGTTGGGCAGGCAGGATTGACTTTCACAGGATCTCCTCCAGCATTTCTCACAGCTTCCCTCATGGCAGCAAAATCCACCATCGCTGGAATTCCACTAACAGATGGAAAAACCAAATAGTATAGTAACACAGGACATCAACTCACTAAAATACACCAGCTTCTTTTTAATTTTAGATCCACCCAAGTTCTACCGCAATAATAAACCCCCACTATTCTAATCTCCAAGTTCTAAAGAACTTGAAACATTTATGCTAAGAGTTGGTACTTGTTCATGAAAAGCAACAGCAAGTTTAAATATAACATACCCAACAAGTACAGGAACACCTCAAAGAGGATTACACTCCTCTTTTGACTTGCTATGCTTCTGAAGTATCATGGTACTTTACCACAGAACTGATTTTTAGATACTTAACTACCTTTACAATAGAACCTTGCTATGCAAACAATGAGAGTGTGGTACATTTAACACCTTCCTTACAAAACCATTTCTGAAGCTCATAGTACTGGACAAAAATATTCTTGTTGCTGTCAAATAAACTGTACCTGAAGTACAAAACTGAGGACAATGCTTATATACCACAGTACTATTTAAGTGTTCCTGACTTTGCTTGCTAAGCAGAGGTTACCTAATTTTTAGTAACACCACAATTCCTTTTTTAATTATCTCGCTTCTTGATAAATATATAATGAGTCAGCAAATCAGCTTAAATTTAATATTTGCAAATTGCTGAAGGACTGCCCTTTCAGCTATGCCATATTCAAATCACCAAGAAAGTTAATATCCTAAGAGACTTCTTAAATCTATGTATTATTCATGGATTCAATTGGATTACATACACTTGTAGAGTAAGCAGTATTTAATCTGCAGTTATCTCATGCATTTCGGTGAACCGCCAGCCATCTGGCTGCAGCCAAAATGTCACCACTTCCATTTGTGTTTTGGCTCTTATCCTATACAGTGCTCCTTGCAGGCCAACAGCTTCAGCCTCGCCAACCTACTCTGAAACCAGGATACCCCGTGGAACTCCTGCACTTACATCACATGGCATTAGCACGAGGAGCCTGCTGGGTAACAGAAGCAGTGCACAGGTTTCTATGGATGTTTTGTTGCTATTTATTTTCAAGCCAAGGAATTGTACATACAAGCCAGCGAGGCTGCAGGGATTGTGTCAGTGGTTCCAGCACACACACACTTACGTATGGCAGCACAGAAGGCCACTTCAACATTATTCTTTTTTGTCTTCCAGTCTAAGATGTTCATAGCATCCGTTTCTTTCACTAAGAAGCCATCACAGTTACGGACACTGGATTCAAACAGCACTCGTATGGAATAAGGCAGAGAATCTAGGGAAAAGCAAAGGAGTTCAGTTAGTGCAACACCTTCAGCTTCAGTAGTTCTTTAAAAATTACAATCCCAATGTTCTGAAGAATTCCACTTTGCTAGGGAATTGGAAGGATGAGAGCTCCAGGAGCCTGCTCTTCCAGGTGCCCTGGGGTTTGATCTTCATTACACAATATGGAACATACATTGCAGAGGCCGAGTTATCATATGGGATTGGAATGGAAGATACCAATGGCTTGACCACACTGTGTTAAGGCAGTGACATTTAAGAAAGTATGCTATGCTGTCAGGAGATGGATGCAAGGAATTAAGACCTGGGATTACTGATCAGCGGTGGGGGGGAAGCAACAACAATTAGATTATTAATAAATATTTTTTCAGCTGTGAATTTCACCCGTTACTTGAGTTAAAGCCAAAAGCATCCAATGCCAGATTATGTTTTTAAATAAACAGTGATATTAAGAACAGAAACTATTCTGCCACATGCCTTAAAATTAAACCCATTTCATAAAATATAAAGAATGACAACATTTCCCCCAATACAACTTCAGTTTGTTACTGATCTGGATTAAGATATTAACTAGAAACAGCTTTCTGCACAAAAAAAAAAGTAGGGAACTGTAAATGAGAATGAAAGAAGTGGGAAGAGAAAAAAGCAGCAGTGCTACTACACACTGCAAACAGCAATAAAAAAAATAAAAAAAAAAATAAAATCAATATTGATTTCTCCCCAAATCCCA